CTCTTGCAATAATTTTTTTTATGTGCTAAAAGAGGAATCTTATTTAATTTGCATCAACAACTGACTAGTGCAATGGCGCTGGAAAGGATCAAGCATCTGAATCCCTGGCTCACGGGGGGATGAAATTGAGTTTGGCCACACTAGCAAGATGTTCTGGCCAGGTTGCAAAATGTTTCTACCAGATTGCTGTGAAGAAAAATGTCTTTTTGAGTCCTTCTTTGAGTTATGTTTTTACAGCAGGTGCTCATCCAACCACGCTTTTGTGAGGCATTATTTTGTTTCTGGTGTGGTTTCCTTGCTTCTATCCTTATAACTCTGCTGGAATTACAGCACCTCTTGGTTGCCAAGTAGAGAAATTTTCAGAATGTGTGCCCTAAGAATATCAAATGCTGTTGAGGTTATACTAATTTAAAAGGCAAAGTCCTCCCTCTTTTTTTTTCAGGGTGGTGGGGGGGTGCGTGTGTGTACTTTCTTGGGTTTTCCTACTGGTTAGGTGACTTTCCATTTCTCTCCATAGGGAACCTCATTCCAACTATCAGCATCTCTCAGTGTCCTTTCTCACTGCCTACTAAAATCACATTTTAAGAAAAATAACTCAGATTAATTTCCTTGGTGAGTCCTGACTTCAGCCAGGCCAACACATTTTGCATCTTGTCTGCTCACTGGCACATCTCACCTGTCAGTGTCATCTCTTCACACTGAATGGAACTATATGTCTGGGTTATTAATCCCAGTTGTGCATCCACTTGTTCTTCAGTTGCAAGCCTGGCTCACAGCCATGCCTGTAGGAATCTGGAAGGAGAGCGAGTCCTGGAGAGGATTATGTCCAGCAGGCAACATCAGTGACAAACCCAGTGCCAAGAAACCTGCTCAGCTGCTTCAGCATCCTCAAATCCTTCATCTTCGGTCATGCAAGACTTGCACACATTCTTATATCGTAGATATACTACTACTGAAGTTGGGTCTGGAGAGAATGCAACTTAAGCCATCAACTAATGAACTCATTTACTAGTCATTTCCACCAGGACCTTGCCTAACTTTTATACCCATGCAATTTCTTGTGATCCAATTTCATGTGATCAGGTAAAACATCAGGAAGATAAACTGGGATGTGCATTCTCTGCATCATCCTTCATATACGACCAACATGGAACATACTTTTTCCTGTTAAGCCCCCTTTGGTGGCTGTGTCTAATCATCCCACCCTCACCTCTGTAAATGACAAACCTACTCCATGGAAGTAAAATGGCTTCTTGCTGTTTCTCTTCACCTTATATGTCCATAGTGAGTCCTGAACTACCGGTGTTTTCCTCTCCCCTTAAAATATGTGATGTTCTCTCATGACTGTCCTGCTGCACCTGAGGGGGGCAGATCAGCGTCCCTCCACCTCCACCCAGTCCCAAGGGCCTGTTTAACACTTCCCTTCCACAAAAACTGCCTTCTTCCAAACAGCAGGAACTATTCCCCTCTCCAGCTCCTCCCTGTGCTAAGAACCCAGCTGTGATCCATTTAATGAAGGTAGATCTGTGTGTTTAAGATCTCATAGGCCATTGCTTTATTTTGAAGAGTAAGACCTGAAATAAAGCAAGCTTTTATTTCAGATTTTGTTTCTGTGAACAAAGTTGAAATACAGGGAATAAGTATTAATGAAGAGCTTGGGTATAAATGTCCTGGCATGTTTTTAATCTTTTAATTATACTTGGCATCTCAGGTGCTTTTTAGTAGGAAGTAAAATCCGGTTAATAAACAGAAATGGATTTCATAATTGTACATTAGAAGTATACTCTGAGCTTCACTGCCAGATATAGAAAGCAGAGGGCTCATGAACAGGTGGTACAGGTTGCCTTAATTAAACCTAAGTCCATTAAAACACTTAAGTATGATAAGCAATAAATAGTGAAAGCATAAGTGCAAAAAAAAGGTAATGCACAGGAAATAACATTTATTCCCATGACACTGTCAAATACCTTTGGTGCCAGCCATCTCAGTTACTGCAAATACCACTGGTTAATACTGGCAGTGAACTTTACCAGTGAAGAGAGCGACAGATGCCTTCAAAGACTGATCCAACGGAGAGCCAGTGTGAAGGGAGGGATGTGGCATTTCTCCTTTGATGTGCAGCCTTCTGCAACAGCACGTTGAGGCTGGGTGGTCAGACTTCATGGGAAAACAGGATTCCTCATCCTATTCAGCTACTGCAATTTTCAGTGCTTTGCAGAATGTTGAACGCAATTTTTATTAAAGAAGCCCAGCTTTTCATATTTAATTTCTTTTTCCGTTTTGCTCTGAATTTCAACTGGATTTGACTGTCTCTAAACCAAATACATTCTGTATCCTGTAAGGAAAAAGGAAATACAATCCTCTGCAAATCTGCTGAACTCCTGTCAAGGAGTCACGTCAAAGAGTGCTAAGAGTTGGACTTGATGATCCTTCTGGGTCCCTTCCAACTCAGCATATTCTGTGATTCTGTATTAATAGTAATTTTTAAATGTTATAAGCATTATTTTGCTTATATTTGCCATGCTCTGGGGCAGATCTGCAAGCTTGGACAACTTTTTTTTTTTTCAAATACATGCATAGGTTTATACTCCAGGTAAATCTTATATTGTTTTCACTAAAAGCATTTAGCAAAATAGGACAGTAGAATACAGTATAAACAATATGTACCATAAAACTACCATACTGCCAACTGTAGGTGCTGCTTATATCACAAATCAAATATGATTTGGTATATTATATTTATCTTGTCCTTTGAAAGACTTTACATGCAACCTGAAAACTCAGTGCAAATCATAGTTTGGAGTGGTTTATGACAGCTCCAATCAGAGAAAAAGACCATTTGGCACACACGGTTCCACGTTTGCAGAAGTTGTCAGTATCCTTTATTTAGCTTCCTGCAAACAATGGCAGAAATAAATACTGAAATGGTTGTATCAATGTAAATAGTTGGATTTATAGTGCATCTTCCAGAAGATTGTCAGCCTCCATTCAACGACTTCAGCTGGTGGAGATGTCCCAGGGAGAAGTCATTATCACAGGTTAAGAAAAGCCCTCTTAACACGAACGGTCTATTTGCAGTTTTAACTTTGGTCAGATAACAAGAGGAAAGCAAATAATCCAAGTATCTTCTATTAGAGAAGCTGTTTTTGAGTTCCTCACCCCCCCTCACTGTCAGATAGTCAGTCTTGTGGGCCCTGACTCTTCTCTGAGCCCCTTTTCTTTCAGTTTCGTTGCCCCCACCCTTTCCATGGGCATTCAAATCGCTGTTTAACTTCCCATTTACTGCTTGGGTACTTCATGGTTAAAGCACCCAGAGATCACAGTCTCTTTAGCTGTAAGGATGACCCTGGGAGTTCAGTCTGTTATTTCTGGTACAGCAGCAGTGAAACACACAAAGTGCTACAGTCTCTCAATCTACCACTGATGCATTCACTGCCAGTGAATGTTACGATCGCTGCTTCAGTTCCCACTTCTTTGAAAATGCACCAATTTGTAAGCCCACAGTATTGCTGGAACTTCAAAATTACTTTGCATTTATCTTTTTTAGAGCAGTGACCACAAAAGATTTCTTTTCTGAACTACCTAAAAAAACGGAATAACATTAAAAAAAATTAAAAATCACTATTTAAAGAAGGTGGTAGCACAAGCACAGTGTGGAAACACACATTCTACATAACCTAAAGAAGGTCTTTAGAGGTCATGAAAGAAAGAATGCTCTAAATACTAGGATGAAAGAACTACTTGAAGTTTCTCACTCCTCCATAACTCTGTGTTCACGTGAACAATTCCCAGCATTGTTCTGCCTCAGTTTCTCACACAGGAGGAATAAAAACATTGCAATACTTATTAACTTACAGAGCTCTAACAAATGTACTAAGAAATACATTAGTGTTTTAGGTGCAAAAATACTACAACAAACATGCTACGCCTAGTTACTAAGAAATACCAACTCAGAAGCTCTTACTGTACAACAGCATATTTTATTACTAACAAATACAGTAATAATAAAACTTCTGAACATGTGTATAAAGTTACCTGGTTACAAACAGAACTAGAAAAATGAAGGGCATTTATTGTGCATTTTGACAGGAGATTTTTCATCTTTCTCACTGTACTTCTCAGTAGCAAGACTTCTGTGTATTTTTAATGGGGAAAGTCTAAAAGAAAGAGTATATCCCATTGAAGGCAACAAATTACAAATGCTAAAATGTAATATAAAGACATTCCATTTTTAATGTATGATGGATAAAACAGTAACTTTGGTTTATCAGAACTGTAGTTCCTGTTGTTTCAGCATTTACATGCCCTTTGTACCCTGCAATTTTCATTGTTCAAAGCATCACCATGAATGCTGCCCAAACTCAAACACAGTAATTTCCCTGCATAATATCAAAATATTGAGAAAAATATCCTTAGTTATCAAATGCAAGACGATGGACAGTCTTACAAAATGCATTGACATGTTCTGAAAACAGCAAAATACTGTTTCCAAATTATCTCAAGTAGTAAATCCTATTGGCTCTCAAGAAATCTTGACTCAAATGAAGCCAAATGATGAAACTGTTATCCACATCAGCAGTACTTGCTCTTGAGAACCACTCTATCACAAGAAAGGCTACATGTATTAAGGCCTTTTCAATTTAGAGAAAATACAGTGCTGTAGCATATAGAAAACTAAGCTTTGTAGGAAAAGTATTAAGGCCATCTTCCGAGTAAATAGATTGTTAAACAAGCTTGTGTATTAATAACTCAACACTTTATTTTCTGCAAGATACTTCTCTACAGAATATATAAAAAATTAAGTTACTCTCATAGAAACACCATGAAATGAGCTCTCATTGCAGCTCAGTACAAAATCCCAAAGCGTGTGCTTCAGATTCTGCCCACCGAGGCCGGGGGTCTGAAGCGTTCCTTCGGCACAATGCTCTGGAACACCGTGCCAGCAGAGGCTCCGAGAGGCATTTTTCTGAAACACTGCTGCCCCTACTGCATCAGCCCTGTGACCAGTCTGACCCCAGATGATGGTGCATGTTACAGGTAGAGGTCCAACCTGCTTTACTCGGAACTGACTCTCGTTGTCTGATCACCGGAGGACTCTTGGCTTCAGCAACCCCTGACGGAAGCACGTGAGCTTTCCCAAGTTTGTACAATACATACAAAACCAGCAGTTCTAGAGATTGACCTTATGCAGTCAGTTATTTACAAAATTCATTTTTATGTACAAAATAAATTGCTATAATTCCAGATTCCCTTTCATATTCAGTGTACAAGCTACCATAAACCAGTGCTGTAATTGATACAACAGGACACAATTTACAGAGTATTTATAAATTTGTGTATCCCTTATTTAAGTGATATTATTGTTTAAGAGATAGTAAAAAGAGAAAAAAATTAACAAGTGTTAAAAAATATCAAAGAGGCAGATGTAACTTTTATACCTTGAAAAGTAACAGTGCTTTCTAAGCATCACTTTAATGCAATTCATTACAAAATATTCTTTATATAAGGAATAATAATTGTCTCATCTTTTTCTTAGATTACTGCCATGTCCTGCAGAACTTCAATTTCCATTATTCCTGGATAGGATAAAATACAGTACATTATTGTTAGCTGTTTCCACAACAAAACATACATTTTTAAGTGCAAAGCAAGATATGTGTGTTTTTTAATAAGGCACAGAATATCCATTATTTCCAGTGTAACACAGAATTCATGTCAGTTTTATAAACTGCAAATGTTCATATAAAATTTCAATCTTTCAAGGATTTGAACTGTTTGCTGAATCCAACTCTCTTCTGGTGTCTGAAGCTGAATAGACAAGTAGGGATATGGAAGCTGACTGTGAGACATCAGGTATTTGGGAACAGCTGCTTTGCAGTGGAGAAGATTCACTAAAATCATTTTTAGGTGTTATTCTGCAAGTAATTTAAAAAAAAACAGTAAATTTTAAGCACAATGCATCACAATGGGAAAAAAATTGAGCAATGAAATCATAATGTATTTCCAGTTGTATTCTTTTCAAGAGAAAGTAATACAGTTCTGTATACTTTTCCAACTATTGTTCTTTTTCAGATCCATCACCTCTCAAAGTGATTAAAGTGCAGTCACAGATGTTTTGGAGCCGAAGCTCCAGCACTCAGCACTTACATGGAAAAGGAGAATTCTACAAATATACAAAATAGCCCATAAGCTAAAGATACATGGCCACATGGGGCAGTCTGTAATTTCTCTTGACAGCTACTGTGAGTTAGTTGCATACGAGAGTACACCGATTCTTCAGAGAAAAGGATCAGCAAGCTTACAGCACTAGCGGGAACATGCACAAACAAGCAAATGATTGAGTTCAGGTGCCTTACCTTCCTTCACCTACTCTCTTCATACTCTCAGCCAAGCTACTCATATGACATGTGCTATCAGCTTTGTTTCTTCTTTCCACCTGATCCACAGTTAATTTAGAACCAGATAACATTTGATCTCCGCTGTTTTCACCTGCCTCAGCTCTTCGGGCTGATGTTCCGTCTGCCTCTATCTCTCTCTCAGATGTCTCTGGAGAGGTTTTAATTTCTGCAACAGTTTCTTGGCTTAAGTAATCATGATTAGTGATTGCCACGGCAGAAGTTCCATGATTTGTTGCGCCACCTGTACTGGTACCCATTGACTTTGAAATGACTTTAAGTCTGTGTGAAGTTGACTTGTAGTGCTTCTTTTTGTGTTTAACTTTGGAATTGTGTCTCAAGAAAAATTCACATGACTCTTGCAGCACTCTTCGACTCTCACTGATTGGACTGAAAGAGAACACAAGCGTGTAACTGAATGAAGAGGATAACCTTGGCTACAGTGCAATACAGACTCATACACAAAACCCTGACAGAACAGCAACCAGTGATGCAATCTGAGACAGATGTTAATGAACAAAAAAAAAAAATCATACGTGAAGAGAAAAAAGTCTGATCATAATAGCTCCAAAGTAATTATGTCTGTGGAACAATTTAATAAAGCAGATTTCTACATTTCTTACTTCTGCAAGTTGGTCTTAATGACTTCAGTAGATTAATGATCTAAGAGAGGAAAGAAGGATTAGCTCAGAAGCAGCTACATTACCAAGTTAACTTTATATAAAATAAATCTCATTCAAATGAAGAAAGGTAAGCATTATAAAAATTACTTCATTATTTTTAAATCCTTGTAGCTGAAAGCAGTTAACATCTGAAATATAAGAAAAAATTACACAGGAATTAGAAAAAGAGGGTAGAGGGAAAGGAAGCCATAAGCTGACCATCAAGGAATGTAAATGTAAAATAAAAGGAGCTTAAGGACTACTGCCTTGGGAAATCCAAAGAAATAAAACAATCTAAACCCACAATATAAGTAATAGATAATCTAAACAGAGATAATCAAAGAATAAGAAAAAATTGAAAAATGATAACTAAAAGAAACAGAGATGAAATTCGTAAGCTCCTTAAATCCATAGATATAAAGTTTACTAAAATTAAGCAATAAAACTGAATTCTTCTCCTTCAAAAAAAGAAAAAAAGAACACTAGATTTATGCAATAAAAGTGAGAGTAAGGAGAGTTTGATGAATATTAATTTTAAAACAAGACAAGCCTGGCATAGAAGAAAAGCAGAGGATACTATTGCATGGCAGTAAACACCACGAAGTACTGTGTCAAATGAAGTGGTCACAACACATGAAAGCAACTAAACTGATGACTGAAATTATCTTCCCTCCTTTGACTGGAAACCAGAGACTTATCAGCCAATGCTAAACACAGCAACATGCCTTCAGCTCTACAAAAGATAAATCAGCAGAGGGAAAAAATTTCTGTCTTCTGAGAATGTCAGAAAGTCACTGCATGTGTAAAACTTCCCTCAACCAGTGGAATTTTCCTGATGCCCAAAGGCAGCATTTAAAGTCTGAAAAAGAAGTCTCAGGACAGCATTTTAATCACCTGAGCTAAATATAAAGAAACATGTCCTAAAGCCAACTTTAAGTATACACTTTAAAAAGCAGGAATAAAAAATTTTTTCTTACTCTCTTTTGCGGTTTCTGTTGAAGAAATTGGCCCATTCAGAACAGGTCTTTTTACTTCCCACCCAGAAGACTGGAGATATGCCGACAATTAATGTCAGCAAATATTTCATCAGAAACAAAAATATTTCTGGTCTTGCTAGTGCCTTTGCCTAGAAGATAAAGTTTGATAAATGCAAAGAAAGAAAATACACTCGTTGCTTTATTTTTTTTAAAGGCAGAAAACAAATAACGTAAATGAGAGACCTCCTTCTTATGGCTGTTGTTCTTTGTCGAGGCTTGTACTGCGGGCAAATGTTAGACATGTACAGTCAAGTCAGACGTGGTTCATGTCTACAGCTGAACACGCCAGAGATTTTTCAGAAGCAAATATTTTTCTTTTAAATTGCAAGGAAAGGTAATCTGGGGAGCAATAGTATTAATAGACATGTTCTTCAGAGGTGAGTATGTATGTACAAGATTTATCCCTTCAACTTAAAAGAAACAGCCAGTGGATCACAGAATCACAGAATGGTTCAGGTTGGAAGGGACCTTAAAGACCACCTGCCATGGGCAGGGACACCTTCCACTAGACGAGGGCGACCCAAGCTCCATCCAGCCTGGCCTGGAACATTTCCATGGATAAGGAATCCACAACTTCTCTGGGCAACCTGTTCCAGGGCCTCATCAGCATCAAAGTAAAGAATTTCTTCCTAATATCCAATGTAAACCTACTCTCTTTCAGTTCAAAGCCATTCCACCTTGTCCTGTCACTGCATGTCCTTGTAAAAAGTCTCTCTCCATCCTTCCTGTAGGCTCCCTTCAGGTAGTGGAAGGATTAGTTGGAAGTTAATCAGATTAGACAGCATTTCCAAGGAGCCGCAGGGAACTGCACCATAGCTTTCTGTTTACTGCAAAATTAATCCACCTATTTGCAGAACTGTACCATAGGAGCTGAGACATCTAACTCTGTAAGAGATCATTATCTTCTGCTCCCATTCTGCAAATTTAATTTACGTACCTGGCTTATCTGCCAGCCCATCTCTGAAAGTCACTATTTTTATTAGGCAGGTAACATTAGCCACTTAAACTGAAGTTTGTTTTTATTTGGTTTTGATCTGGCCAATGTAACAAAAGTCTACAAGCCAAGTCAGGCAAGCCAAAGCTGAGCACACCACTTAAAGTTCTCCACAATTAGCACACACTGTCTATTATAGGGACATATCCCATAAAACATATCTTTGTTAACATTTCCTGCTGCTATTTCTTCTTTCCAAAGGCTAATTAAACGATGAAAATACGTGCTCTTTCCTGTGTTATTATGCCAAGCTGTTATATTTAAATACTACAAAACAATTTTGTTGATTTATTTTTTTTAACATGTCTTGTTTTCAGCCTTGTATATTCTGAACCATTTAGGCTGATACGGAGCTCAGAATAAAATCCACTGAAGTCAAAATATACTTGTTAAGAAATGGTATCGGAAGCACAAATAACCAAGTTGTCTGTAAACTGTGCTACTGTCAGCTTACACTGACTTCAACCAGAGGAGATCAACCCTTATAATTCATAACGCCTGTGTTCATATTCCTCATTTTAATTATATTTATTTGCAGCAAAAACATAGATGGTAAGTGTAATGCAAAGAAAGATGACATGAGACACTTGCATTTCTCTTGGTGATATTTGCTTGTATGTTTGTTCTTAAATAGAAGGAAACAAACCACAAATTACTTCTAAGTAATTTGTAATATAAAACTCCTTGCAATTGCAAGAGATTTAATCCACAGAGAGCACTGAACACAGGCAGATTCAATTTAAAAGCTTTCCCAAGGAAGTTTTAGGGAGTCAAAAGTTCAATACAATCACCTCCATGATTTAAAGTGCTGTTGAGTTTTTTTTTCTTTATTTGCTATTTGTTTGGTTGGTTTTCATAAAGACTTCTTTGCATTTCTGAAAATCAGTCTGCAAATGACAACTACTGTGGAAAAAACATACTGAAAATTTGTTCTGTAATTTCAAGCGTTTTACTTTTCTACACTTTGAAGAAAAAAAAGACAAAAGTGATTTTAAATCTCTGGTTATAATCAGCATTTAAAATTCAATTTAGTCTGGATCTTCACGAATCACTATTTCAGCTTCAACTGAAATTGATGAAAATTCAGCTTACACACTTTGATACTGAGCTAGGCACCCAAGTACTGAGCAACTACTTTTAGGAACAAATATTGTGAAGAATGATCCTCATCCAAGGCAAATTTGTAACATGAAGTTCAAATATCGTAGAGGTTATATATTCTGTTAGAGCTGTGAGTTGGAATTTAATTGCTGAGCGCTACCAATTCAATTCAAAGGAAAAATATCATTCCACTGATTTTGACTTAAAAAGGAATGAACCACTCCATGTTCCTGAACGTGAAAATAACTTACTAATGTGAAAATAACTTACTAATTGCATGGCAGATACAGTGATGAATAAGGGGTTTTGTTAGCTAACTTTACAGTATTATTTATAAAGGAAACTGTTACTTGCCTGATAAGGACAAGGAATGTGGTACTGGTCACAGTGGTCAAACACCCAAGTCGTTTCCCAGATTTTCCGGTTTACCAGTTCATAAACATAACATCCAAGAAGTGCTACCAGTGGCACCAAGTATAAACCACTAAAAACTCCAATTCTGATCATGAATTTCTTTAGCTTCTCCTGGTTCCTGCCATCATGCTGGATGACTTGGCGCACGTGATTTAATGAAATAATACCAGCTAAGAGAAGAGAGAGACCGAAAAACACACAAAGGCACAGCGGCAAAAGCACAAAGTACAGAGAGGCATCCAGATCATAGAGACCCACAAAGCAAACCCCACTGATATTGTCTCCCTCAACTTTGTTCATCGCAAGGAGCATAATGGTTAGAAAACCAGGTATTCCCCAGGCAACCGCGTGGAACCACATGGCCTTTTGGGCAATAGCTTCACAGCTCCATTTTCTTCCCGCTGCAAGGAACCAAGTGATTGTAAGAATCACCCACCAAATAGTTCCTGCCATAGTGAAAAAGTACAAAACCATGAAAAGGACGGTACAGGCTTTGTTTTGGGAGCCAAGAACAACCGTTTCACCAATTTCTAACTTATCATCTGCCTCGTTACAGGCAGTTTTGTTCCCAAGTAAAAACCCAATAAAGTACATCAGAGAGACTATGCTGTAACAGACAGAGTAATATATGATCGGTCTCTCTGGGTACCTAAACCTTTTAACATCAATCAGAAAAGTCAGGAATGTGAAAAGCGTAGCACAAAGACAAAAGATTGAAACTATTCCAATGAAGCTTTTTGCCACATCCAATTCATAATTTTTGAAGTACATATTGGGACATGGTGGTGCACACTGATCAATTCCTAGAAACTTGTAGCCTTGTCCATTGTTAGTGTGGAGGTGCCGGGGACACCAAAATCCATAATCCCTTCGGATCTGGCCTGGGGTCTTCCGAGTTCCATGTATGTTTGTGGTTACAGCAGCAGTGGCAGGAACGCTCTCATCACAATTAGTCAGTCTGAATAAATAAACAGAAGAGGAAATATCTCAATACGCCTCATTCTCAACTAGAATTACTTTTTAGAAATATGAAAAAAACCTGATCCTAAGCACTGTTAAATTTTACAGATAATGCAAACGTGCATTATATGAAAAAATAAATCAGAAGGCATTATAAAAACCAAACTTCAAATATTTGCATTTTAGAAGAACTTCAAACACATTTATTTACCTGTTGCTCTCTAGCTGTTGTATCATAGGCTATAAAACACTACTCAAATTGCGATCATTCTTTTAAAGTCTACTGAACTTCTACATATATATATAAAATATTTACAGTAGGGTTCTTTTTTTAAATTTGGATAGACCGTTGAAGACAGCAAAAAATCTTGTCACAATGCAAGCTTCAATCAATCAAGGAAGAAGGTTGACATCATTAATTGATGTCTAGTATGCAATCATTATTATAATTTTTTTGTGTTATACTGCTATTTTATTGTCAACAACAATGAACTACCCAACTGAAAAAAATATAAGCAGAAAACACAAGCACTGTAAAAAATTAACAATATTTTAGCAATTTTATAGCTCTATGAGGTTAATTTAAAAACTGCTCAAGACTCAATTGCTCCAGAGTTTAAGTGGACACAAGAGGTGATCTTTTTCATAAATAATATCATATTAGCAGTGCTGGACTTACCTTTGGACTACATTATATAACTCAAGCATTTACTCCTACTGGGATTTATATTCATATGCATTCCAAGTTTAAGTGTACATTTAAAAAGAACAAGTTTTGCACTCTAGCTTTTAAAGTAAGATTCTGTTATCTCAACAGTCCTTGTCAAACACTATTACAAGTCCCTCAATTCACTTTTCAAGCTCAGCTTGAGCTAAAAACTCCTTCAGTTCTATGTTTCTCTGCATTATCATGCTGTCCAAGTAAATCCAAACTAATGAAGAAAACTGATTCTGTGGCAGATTTTTTCATTAACCACAGGCCAGAGCAGGATGCGTGGACCCGTTCACCCACGTCTTAATTGGCATTATGTATGTCTGTAAGAATACAAAAGTGTGAATCTCAGTATTCCAGTTACTTCCCATCCTCATGCCTGCAGGCTGCAGCAGCAGGATCTCTGCTGCTGTAAGAACACCCTGCACTCCACAGACTTCTCAATATCAGCTACCAGGGAGACATCACATATGAACAGAGAAGCTTCATTTTCAGTAAATACTAGCAGTAATAAAATAATTTAAAGCTGCAGTAAATCCTGCAAAAAAACATGATTTGATTTAAAATATCACATCTTGAATAACTGGATTAATTTGTAATTTCCCTTATTTTCCAAACAATCTTAGAAGATATTTGCTGTGCCCCTTCAGGGCACAACTGTTGCACAGAAGCTCACATTAGATGGGAAAAGTTGATGCCTTCTTGTTTTAAAACCCCACAACTTCTATTTTTCTGCAGAACTACAGGAAATGGCATTAATGCCACTTGTCACATTCACTCCAATACTGATTTCTACCACAGGTCATGCACAGGATACTGTCCCTGCTTTCCCTCAGCCTTATCACAGATTACCAACTGCATGGGGGTTAGAAAAATTATTTGAGTTTCCAGTCTCTGCTCCTTTCCTGTACCTCTTGACCTGATGTGTGTTTAAAAAAAGTCTAGCCTTAATAATTTATAAATATCCACAGCTGAAGGTCATAATCTCAAGAAGATTGCACTGGGGTGCTTTCAGTGGCTTCCATTTAAAATATATAGACATCTTTTCAGCAAATATTGTATTATCTATCTGAAAAAGACACACGAACACCTTTGAGAAATAGTTGAAATTTTAAAAGAGAGAGTTTTGTAGGCAGTACAGGAAAAGCAACACAAGACTAAGTTTGCATATTTAAGCAGTTAGGAGTGAGATAAGGCTTCTACCTAATTTATTCTTCTACTGTTTATCTGCTCAAATACAGAATATTCTGTATTTCGTTATCTTACGAGCAGTTCCTTCTGAACTCCCTAACGAAGTAAGCATGATCATCCCTAGTTTAGAAATCAGAAACCAACGCAAAATCTAAGCTGTAACATATAATATTTAAACTTTCAGAAATTTACAGTAAAAAAGCTTCCTTTTGCAGAGATCTGAATACTGAACTGTTGCAGAGCTTCGTTGCAAAAAAAAAAAAAAGTCACACGTAGAAAATGCAGGTGATCATCTGAATAATGAAGAAGTTTTAATGAAGAAATGGTCCCATGCACTGCAGGGTCAGCGTAATAAGGAGGTTACAGTAAAGTGATATTTAACATTCTGCCTCAGATTTTCAACTCACTCCAGGTCAAATATGGAAGTACCACTCCCACCACCTGTCAATATGAGAAATACCCCACCTGGTACATTCCAACTCTTCAGGCCATGCAATTCCAAACGTGTCCATCAACTGCTTACAGTCAGAATACACTTTCTCACAGAGGCTTCGACAAGGGTGAATCACATGAATTTGATCCAGGCAGGCAGGGACAAAGGCTCTACACAGAAATGTGTGGACGTCGGGTGAACAGTGAAGATTCATAAGAATAAGAAAAGGCTACAGGGAAGAAAAAGGCTTTGGTTAGCAATCTAAAAAAGATAATTCAAGGCATTAAAACTAACTTTCATCACTATGGCTCACATTTGATCCCCTGTAGGTTTGGAAAGATTCTAGAAAATAGTCTTTGTTCAGCAATTGCAAAAGAGCAAAACCCACTGCTGTGAGCAGCAAGAAGCTCCATTAGCACCTTTAGCCCAGCCCTTGCCTCAGGAATCTTGGCCAATCTGTGACTTTTAGAACATGATTTTTCCTACTTGTCAAAATCAGCAATCTGAAAGGTATTGTGAAAGCCCAAGATTTTTTAAAAATAGGGTAAAACATTGAGCTCCTTTGTGCATCAGTTAGATTCTAAATAAGTGCCCTGAGATTTTTAAAGGTGTGTCTGTTCCAGTAGTTCCTGTTAGATTACATTTTCAGTCCTAAGTGCTGTGTTGTACTCATCTCCTCTCACACTGGAGAACTTTGGGGTTTTTTTGATTAATGAGGCCCAAGTATCATTATTTCTCATTTTTGAAACACCTCATTTCAAATCTCTCTCAACATGACTGCAGTGAGTAACTGATGACTGTTCTTATTAGAGAATTCATAGAATGAAATTTAACCCAACTTTTTTTTTCCCAATGCATTCAATTCATCATTCACAGTCAGAGAGGTTTTTAAGGGGAAAAATACCCCAACCTTCCTTCTCTATGTTTTTTTCTGTTTTACTAATAGGGCAAATTGTTTTAGCCAAAATACTACCATGTGTGCAAATTCCAGACAAACCAGTTGGTCATTTTTGCAATTGCTTTTGAGTCCAGAACAGCATCCTCACTTCTGTCAGCTTTTAAGAACCCCAAATATACCCTTACCCAAAGAGCAAGTCTTACCACTGAACATGCAGTTTAAAAGAAAAGACATGGACAAATATTCCCTTTCAAACTGGAGTATCTACAAGTCCTCAAGGGACCTTGATAATAAACACAGGGACATGTGGGAAGAGGGGAAGAAAAGATAAGGCAGAGCAAGAATAACATAAAAGTTCTTTATGGGAAAAAAACCCAAAAAATTGTTGGAACTACCCTTCAAGCACTCCAGCTGTGTTCTGCATCTGCAGATGCCATGGCAGCAGGCACACAGAAGTTTGATCCCCTCTCTGGGCACCTGCTCTGGAGCTGCCTTTGGAGGAACCCAGGATCTGGGTATTTCATGACAAGGAGAGAAATGTAGCTCTAGTATGCCATGTTCCAGTTCCACACGTTGGATTATTTCCTACACACTGCATAGCTTCACAGGAGTTAACCCTAAATGAATTAAACTCCCTCTGCTTAATTATGATACTTCTTTTCTTTTCAATTGGTAATTTATATTTACTCTGCTTTTCCCGGCACTTAGGATAAAACAAAGACAATCATATTCAACTCCTTTAGAAATTGTGTTTAATTTTGACATAAAATCTTGCACAGATTGTCTTGACTGTTACGAATTGTTCCCTTTTTGAACCCATAATTCATCTCAGTAGATAAAAAGTATTTCTAGAGCAATTTTTGGGCTGCCAGTCAAAAACTTTCACAGATTTCAGTAAAACAGAAATATCTTCTCTAGAAAAGTAAGAATTTTTAAAAAGCACAATATTTATATCTATGAAAACAACTTCACCTACAAATATATTTTACCAGTTCTTTTGATAAGCAACAAACAGTTTTTAAATAGCATTTTCCAACACAGCTAATACAGCTGTGTATTGTAAGCTTGGTCCTTTGATATAGAAAATGAGTATAAAGAAAGCATTGGCTGGTAAAAAAAGTCAGGGCACAACACTAACCTTTACCATTTTAAAAGAGTTTCTGTTGTATAAAGGTACCTAAAAGCTAAAATACCACAAGAATCACTACACAGTGGTACTGTATATCAGAGGTAGACAATGACAAGCAAAAATAAAATGTTTCCGAGACTTTTACTAAAGCATGTTGTCATTGGCTAAACATTGTTGTTTAAAGAACATATTTTATTTAAATCTGAAACCACCTTAACAGATAAGTTGAAAAACGCAAATTTTTAGAAGAAAGCTATGATTAGCCTGTAACGTAATGGCCAGTCTTCACGAACGAAGAACCGGGGAAGGTCTTTACACCTTCCAGCCTGCACATTGGATTTTTTAGGTGAGACATAGTGTGCGCGGAACTGAGCCCACCCTTTAATCCTGAGGTTCATCTGCCGGGGCCAAGCGAGCTTGGACGGTGGCAGCGAGGTCCTCAGGACGTAGATGGATTGCCTTACGGGCTAACGAGCTCCATCTGCCCGGGGAGGGACCCTGACCGGGAATCGAACCCGGGTCTCAAATTCCAAGGACTCAGCTGCCAAGAGGAATTGTTTTTACAGTGTTTCTTTCAGCTTGCTAAAAATACTTACCTTTTGACACCTGAAAGTAAGAACACAAGGGCAAGAAGTTTGATGTTCTGAAAACACAACCCAATCTCCCAAGTCAGACCATTTAGCTGGACACCCCATTCTCACCCCATCTGTTAACAAGGGGATGTAATAAAACAATCTAACATCTCTCCCTTTCATCTTTCCTACAACCAATGGTTTAGGAAGAAAGCTGCAGGTTATAACACGGTCCCCGTGTTGAAAAGACATTGACAAACCTTTTTTGCTGAAACGCATCTAATCCCTTTTTCAACCATTTAAGCTTAAACCCTTTGTAAAATATTACAGTAGTAAGCAGGCACTGCTGAAAGATACTGCTTTTTATTTGTTTATTTTAACTCCTGGATTTGCAACCTAATTTGTGTTTTGACAAACAGCTAACAGATTGCACTCTGCTTTTTCCATCTATTTACACATTAGCACAGTAATCCTTTCAGTTTTGATTTCTATTCCTTTCATACTATACTTTGCCTTCTATTTACCTTGACTACATTTGAACACTGACCTCACATTTGTACAGTGACAAAAACTCTTTCTGAGTGACAGTAACCAATTTATAACTGTGCCCACCCATTTGTACAGATAGTGGGAGTTATTTTTCTTCATACTTATTACTCTGGGAGTAATTTTTTCCCTATACACATTACTCTGCATTTTCCAAGCATAAATCCCACCAACCATTTTATTGTCCCATTGAATCTAGCGGAAGACCTTTCTGCAATTCTTGCATTGATTTTGTTTTCTCAGCAAATTTATTATCTATCCCTCTTCTAGGTCCATCTATGAATTAGCTGTGTATCAGAGGTTTCCATACAGATAAGTAGGGGGAACCACTCTAGTTACTTATTCGGTATAGCACAAAACTATCAGCTCATGATTTAACAACCCTTATTGTGGAAAAACATTTATTTGTTCCTACTTTTCTTCTTAGGCAGGCAGGCACTGGAAAATAAAGTCCCCAATGGGTTACCAGCAGAGTTTCTTAAAAAAAACCCACACAGGTTATGACCATATCAAAACCTTTTTGAAAACTGAAGTATGACATACTGTCTGAATTACCCCTTTCAACAAACGTATTGACTCCCTTAAAATACTCCAACACATTTTGCAGCCAATGAGTTCCCTCAACTAAAAAACCTCTCTAAGATGTAAAACTTTGCCTCGAGCACACACAAATGGGATTTGTAAAATACAGATTTATTTTCAGTGACAGCTTACTTTTACCATTTAAGAACAGCAGAAGTGGTTGGGAACCGTGTCTGGAACTTTGCTAACAATTAGGTAGCTTGAAATGTGGGCTTCACTTCCAGTTAGCCAATTTGGAAAACTTTCATCAGAGAAAATAGCATGTCTGCAGTTCCTGAAGGACCATAAAAGCAAAATCTTACCAAAACCAAAGTATTTTCTCCCCCAGCTGCATTGCCTGGAAGCCAAAAGTGTAGAGCCAAGATCACAAGCTCACTGACAGTAAAATTCAGTTGCTTCAAGACCAGTTTATCTGAATCATGGATGTCCCAGCGACAAACTATTTTTTATCCAAGTGATTAGCTGGGTAAGCTGCACACATGCACACGCTGGTGTCCTGAGTATGCAAGTCTGGGATTAAACTCAGAAGCTTGTACCACAGTCCTTCTCTCTTCAGGAAGTTCAGGATCTGCCCATGGGCACAATCAAACAAAATAGGCTCTTCCAGGAAATGAGGGCACTTGGCATTTCTAGCATTAGCAATCACTGCCCTATTATATGAAGAAGAGATGAAAATCTGCAGATTTGGTGATGGCAGTGCTAAAAATAGAGTGAAGACAGACTCTTTAAAAACCAGAAATTGAGCCTCACATAGCTAATATAACTCCTAAAATAAAAATTCTCATCTTCTTAGCAATGGGAAACAAAACTCAGTAAACATAAGGCAAACTAGAATATAGTAACAATCTAAAACCAACCAACCAAACAAACCCCCAAACAAATAAAAAACTCCAAACCTAAACCAAAAAACTAATAGCAACTGCAAAGTCAAAGATGATGTCTTTAACAGCAGAAGAGGCGCCTGCCTCAAGCAGAATCAGTGAAGAACTGAGGACTATGGGATGCAAACTTTCCACTAACAAAACACCAGCACCTTACTTAGTAAATTCTAATTTGGTGTGTCTATGTTCTATTTTCTCCAGAGGCAAAGCCAAACTACCTCAGAAATCCAGTTACGGTGTGGTCCTACAAACAACTAAGACAAGTGAAAATAAATGTTACAAAATACAGAATAAATGTTTAGGTGCAAACATGTGCTTAAACGAGCTCTACCAACAAGTAAACTGCACTCTGGAACTGTATGTGTATCTTGTGCTCAGGATGCTTCTGTTTTGTGCTTAGCAGGCTTACAAATCCAAGACACAGGAAAAACAAGCTCATTATTCCAGGCAGACACTGAATATGCTCTCTTGTACCTCATCTCAGTTTTATCCTAGAGAAAAGCATTACCAGAGATGATCAGATGTCTCTGGGGTTGGATTGTATGATAATTACCAAGATATGTCAAAACAAGTAGGTGACAATACTCTTCTGTACTCTGCTGATTAATGTCACAGAGATAC